GTGTTTTGCAATGGATGATGCTGGATTTCTATTAAGATTAATCGCGTTGGGATTTTCGATATGGTTTACTAGCCATTTTGGAATATGTTCTTTTCGACGACATTGGAACATTCTGTTAGTTCTACCTATATAGGTGTCACCGCAGCTGCAGGTGAACTTGTAGATACAGTTTGAAGTAGAGTCCACAGAATTTCGTCCTTTAATCGTAGGAACAGGGATCGAAAATGTTCGGCAAGTGAGAAAAAGAGATGCGGCGTAGAATGTGCGTTTGATGGCTGATCGAAGTCTTTGAGTTGTCAACTGCATAATCTGGTCGCCCTTGAATGGTAGATTAATAAAGATGGCTTTCTTTGGTACAGAAGCTGTCTTTTCGAGATGTGGTTTTTCTTTGCTGTGACAAGTGATAAAGCTCTCCGGATAACCATTAGCTAATAAAACTGAATGTACATGTCGAAGCTCATCCATCAGTGTGTCACTCGTGCATATTTTTCGGGCCCTTGAGAACAAACATTTCACTAGGGAACGTTTATACTGGATAGGAACAAAACTGGTAAAATGAAGATATTGTCCAGTCCATGTTTGTTTACGAAAAATAGAGCGCTGAATCGTTCCATCATTTCTCCTAGTCATAGTAATATCCAGGAAACCAAGTTTGTTATTCGATTCTAGTTCGGAAGTCACTCGAATATTTGGATGAATATGATTAAATAGAGTAATGAAGTTTTCAATAGATTCACTATTATTACCAATAATAAGAGTATCATCTACATAACGTTTATACAGCATAAATCCTCCAAGCATACCTTGCATTTGTTTCTCTAATTTCGACATAAATATATCTGCTAACAGGGGCCCCAGAGGGCTCCCCATCGCAACACCATCGATTTGTTTATATGCCTTTTCTTGGAATGTGAATCTAATATTTTCTGTACACATTAAGATTATGTCTTTGATGTAAGTGACGGGAATGGGTAAGTTTATGCCATTGCTTGTGATGTAATCGCAAATAAAATCAACAGTTTCATGAAGGGGAACATTGGTGAATAAAGATTCTATGTCAATTGAACACATAACCTTTTCCTTAATGTTCAAGGTGTCCAGCATTTCTGTAAGATCAAATGAACTTTTTACAGAATGATTTGATAATGAGTCTCTTACAGGCGTAAGGACCTCTGTAATCCATTTGGCGATTTTATGATAAGGAGAATTTGACATGTCTAACACATAACTCTAATTCAAGGTTATTGAAGGTGATGGAAGCACTTTGGATTAATCACATACAGCCTAAACTGTGTGTACAAAAATCAATAGACTTCAATCTTCGCCTACCCTGGACTGCATGACCTATCTTAATATGATTGGTCATTAGTATTTACTTTTGTTTTTATTTAACTGAGTAATTTTCATGAACTTTATTTTATCATTGTTAACCATGTTAGTTGTAAAGCGGTTGTAAAGAAACTACGAAATGATATCATCTCGCGAAATTTGTCTTCTTAATGCCTTGTTCAAATTTATCAAAGGGACTAATTGTTTTAATTTACTTAATTTTAATTTATTTGTTTAAAAAGTGACTGATACTGCATAATGAACGTGTGCCATAAAGCAGGAATATTTAACATTGTTTGAGTGCTACTAGTAGAAAAAGACTAAGTCTACATTTCATCTGCTTTGTCAGTTTCCCCTGAAATGTGAAATGGCAGTAAAACACCTAAAGCAGAACCCGTAGTTATTTAAATATACACAAATGATTACAAAGATCGGATGAAGGAATGTAGAAAGGATCAGACTGGAAGCCAAAACTCATCTAAGGAAGACTATGATGAATTGTGCAAATGAGAAAATATTTGCTGGTGTGTTGAGTTTGAAACTTGAGTTGCAAGTAATAATGGACAAATTTTCTGAACTTCAGTAATATAAGACAGATACCAGTAATATTATTGAAAAATACATCAAGTGTAGTGTTATTTCTTCTTCGGAAACACATAGCCATGATCCTGCCTGGAATCAAACCCTGAACTTCCAGGTCACGAGGCGAGATCGTTGATCATCGGGGTTAAACAGGTCGAGTGTGAGGACAAATACTTCTTAGTGATATTGGAAGGCGGTGGCGCCAAAAATCGCAAATCGATAGAAGTTAGAATTCATGGAGAATTGAATCCCATCCCAGTGGTTGAATGATAGGCGAGCTCACCTCGTAACATTCCGGTCCTGAGTACATTCTTCAGGATGATTCCTGGACTAGGATTAAACAGCTATGCAGTACTCTTTGGTTTTCAATGGTCCCTCCTCTAAGTGATATCACTCAAATCCGTATTAACTGACCTTGAAAATTTATCCTTATTGAGAGAGTAGTATAATCTAAGCTAGACAGTATTACTGTGTAGCTTCCATTTGACTTTCTTCACAAAACCTTGAAAGTAGACACCAGCATAAAAGACAATGCAAGCTTCAGAATAAAAAAATCATCTAATTCAGAGAACATATTTACACCAATGTTATCCACATGAGCCATAAATCCTCTCCATCCTTTCTGAATCTGTCCTTGTGTAGGTACGGTCAGTACAGATCAAAGAAGTGGTTTATTTATATACTTGACTTACCAATACTAATTACGACAAAGTAATCAAAGTATTTAATCTATTTCGTTTATTTAGAATATTTAAGTAGTTTTGTATTTTCTGGTTGAAACAAGCTTGCGAAACTCGTAAATGTTAGTTGGAATGATGAGTTCAAATTATTCAATGCTGATATTCTTGTTTCAAATGAATTCTCATGACGAAATGATGACTAGAAATCGGGACAGTATTCATTCGAATTAGTTTATGCGATTATGGTCATCCGTCAATTTTATTTTACTGTCTATTTATGCATGGCACAGTTTTCAGCCGTATTCACTTTCTGTTATTTAGTTAAGATATAAGTAGTCATTTTATTTCATCGGTAATGTAACTGTTTATGCATTCTCATATCTGTTTATTAAAATTTTTGTTTAATTCCATTTTACTCGACTGTTAATCGATAACGATATCATTATTTATCATTTATTCTATGTCGGGGAAAATTTGAAAGCCTTTCAGTTATTCATTGTTCAGGAAGTGTTATACAGAAATGTTTACTGATGAAATTTCGAGTAAAACTTATTGCTCATAATCACATCAAGTCATTCATACAATTTTCTCACGTCACTTCCATAATTCCATTACTTTTCACCTCTTGATTTGATTGGTAGTAGTATTTCCCATATCTCTGATATTGAAGCTAATTCACTCCTACTGCGTGTGTTTGGTGTAGACTTGATGAACCAGGATTCAGTAATCAATCTCTCTCTCCAATTATCTATATTACATTTTAGAACTTTGACCGTGTTTCCCCCTATAGTGTGGTTGTGTGTTAATTCATACAGTGTAATTGCTGAATTTTTCCTAAATTACTTTGTGTGATAAATCATTCTTACCTTAGCTAAGTGATGACATGAAACAGATAGAAGAAGCGTTGATGTTAAATAACTAACTATCTTATACAATCCATTAGGGAGATCAAAAACGGTCAAAATAAAATTACGGTGAAACTGATATTGATAACATAAGAAAGAATATAAGACATCTACAGTTTTACCATTTGAGGAAGGGGACGTCTGAGTCCCTACATAGGATTCTCAATAAACCAGGATTTAGGGTGGCATTCAAATCTAAAACTCACTCATAGACAAACTCTGTAGGCCAAACGACGCAGTCGGTGGACCCAATCAAACAAAATAATATGATTTTCAAAATACCTTGCAATGACTCTGAGATCAACTACATATGTCAAACCAGTAGATCAGAAGTTGTGAGATTATCAGGACATAAGAATTCAGCTTAGGTAAGACTGATCTTTGAAGATTCCGAAGCACTTGTATCGTTTTTACGGAATGGGTTTGCTAGCCTCATACTGAAACTTTCCTCTTAAATGAACTCACTAACAGATAGCCGAGGTTTAGGAGCGAGTCGACCGAGAATTGAACCCGGATCACATGCATGACTTGCTGGCATTCTACTCCTGAACCATCGACACACGAAACTAGGTGGTTTGAAAGTGAGTCAGTCAGGAACCAAACCGTAACCGTCTACATAGCATAAACTAATAAATAATAATCATGTGGTTTATTGTAATCTCTTTAGTTTCTCTGCAAGGTGGTAAGACTTCGTAATACATATGTAGATCTCGGGCACTGAGTAAGTAAGTAATTCCATATTAGTTTGTCTATCAGATATATCACACAGTGAAACAGTATGATTTACTGGATGACAAAGTTTCAAACACAATTTATTGCTATTCATAATTGTATTAGTAATGATCACACAACTTCGAACCTTGACTTTTATAGTTTTCTTTGTTCTCTCGTATTTGTCGTCGCTGGGGTAGTAGAGTTTTCCAGATGTCAGCGTGGACAGGTGTTGAATCATTCTTATTACACGTGTTTGCAATTGATTTAATAGACAAAGCATCCGTTATCAAGATCCCTCTCCACACTGTTACAGTAGATCTTGAAACTGTCATCTTATCCCATCCATCCTACTGCATGGTTGTGTGTAATTGCATGTAGTGCTGTAGGTGAACTATTCTCCAGATTTCTTATCTTATTCGGGTCAACTAATCTAGATTTTGCTTGGCCTTTATGTACAGCTAGTGTGACTGCTCCTGTTCTACTATTTTGACCTATGTATTTCACCTGACAATCATCTCAGGCAGCGTATTAGATAAACTAAATTGATAATTCCACCAACATAGTACAACAACAGCCATACGCAAGAAATGAAAAATATGGGTGTTGCATGAGACCATATATTTAGGAATACACGATAAATACATTTAAAAATTTCTAAAAATGTTAACAAAGTTTTACAGATTTCTCCTGCGAATGAAAAACAGTTTGAATCAATTGTACATGTGAGCCTTTACAGATTCCCCCAGAATTAGTTACACATTTCCGTTTGATCCGTATTTGTTGAGTCGAATTAAACGCGTTGATATTTAATTGTTGCAGTCTGATTCTGATTTTTTATTGTCTGAATTAAGAAAAGGAGATGATCACCGAAAAGTTTTATAGGGAAATAAGTGTACAAAAAGGAGAAAGCAATAAATTAATATGCTGTTACATACGCTTTATAAAATGATAAATGCTTACTAAGATTTGCTTTTGTAGGGAAGCCCTGTCAATTAGTCAGAAAGTGCTAACACATACTTACTCTGTTCCTGTGTAAGATTTTTCTAATAACGAGAATTTAAAACTGTCATACTGGTGTACATTCAGTTCATCACTAGAACAATGGTTCTCACTCCACTTCATTTGTAGTATAGCCCAACTACAATGAGTTTTTATTTGTGGTGTGGGAATTTTACCAGTTACTCGGTTTATTTCACAGATCATGGTGGAAATTTTCAGTGGTTTGTTTGAATATAATAATAATAATTTTTCCTTCATGTTCTCAGTGGAACATAGGGCTTCAAGCTAGTGGCTTCGCTCTTTACCAGCATTATTTCTGGCTTAGCGAGGTAAAGGAATGCGCCGGCCGGTGGTCGAACCCCGGACCATGTGCATGGTCGGCAAGCGTCCTAACCTCTGTGCCACCGACGCGGTTTGTTTGAAAGTAGTAACTAATGAGTATTGATTTAGTGTCCAAAGGACTGATTTGTTTGTGCATTCATCTTATTTAACGACTTAAAATTCTTATTCTGTATTTCTGAGAAAATGTTTAAAGCTAGCACGAAATAGCAGTTTAGTTCTTCTTAGCCTGTACTGATTTTCTGAATGATCTCGTTCACTCATGTAACTCTTAAGAACATATGTTGACATTGCCAACTCTTTTTTCTATCCGAGCATGATTTTGTTTGAGTTTTCATTCCTGACGGAGTATAATTCCATTTTGTTTAATGGACACATCATACAGTAAGACAATTTTATAACGTGCCTTGGTTGGAAAACAGTAGAATGCTCGCCAACCATGCAGGTGGTTTGAGGTTCAGTTCACGGCCAACACACCCTCCAAACCTTCATCAGCTAGTTATAAAACTGGTGAAGAGGGAAGGCTGGGCATGAGGCTATCAGCCACATCCGTAAAAATCAGAACCACTCCTAAACTAAACTTCAAGCCTCTAGTTTGAAGCCCTATTTTCCATTGGAATTGTAAAGGAAAGTAATTTATCGGTTTTACAGTGAGGTAACTATATCTCCACAAATCTTTACACAGCAGTTTCTGTTATCTTTGTTGTGTGAGTAGTAGTACAATTTTTCTTATAACTAACAATTACATTAGGTTATTTCTACTGTAGGCCTTTGATGTTTCTTTAATTGACAGAAAGACTTTATTAAACTTTCTTTCTTTACAGATAACCTGAGGAGTTTTCAGGTTTTTCATTCAACTCTATTCTATTGTGTGGTTTTAATTATAGTTTTAACGGAGGTTTCCTCTAAGTTCTTTGCTTCACATAGGTCTGTGATTCTAATTTTGATGAAATCCTTTGCTGTGATAACTTAATAATTTGAAATAACTATCCTAATTCATGCCTTTAACCTCTCTACCTGTTCAAGAATCAGTGGACCACGAGCAGTTTCGCCTGGTTAACTGTGTATGACTCCTGAATCTACCAAAATGTTTCGTAGGGGAGAGGCGGTAGGTTAAGAATTATATTTTCGTCACTGAAATGTTAAAATGCCTTTGTAATGTTTCAAAATTTTCTTTTATATAAGAACACATTTTGGAAGTTCTGACTTCCTAATTCTTGGTGCTGATGTTATCATTCAAATACGCGATATCTGTGCTACTAATACTTCAAATAATTTTCTGTAAACTTTTGAATATAGTGAACTGAATGAAATCCAAATGTAGAATAACAAAAAAACTTTTAGATCTGATATTATACAAGCAAAAACAAATTGTTGATATGCACAGGATGTGTGTCTCATATCGATAATAAAAGCTAACAAAGGTATCTGAAATGTAGGAGAAATCTTTACCTAACCACGAGAACTCATAACCACCCTCAATTGGTTATTACGTTAGGAATACTGTCTTAGGCTGCGAAGAGACCACAGCATCGTGCAAAATGTTTTATTCATTTTGAGTAAACAGACTCATGAAAAATAGCTGACGTTGTTCAACCTAAAATATTCAAAATAATTTTAGATAATTTAGGAAGTGTTTGATATTCCATTCTCATTAAGCCTGAAAACTAGAACAGACAATTTTTAAGGCGCAAACTATGTCGTTTGTCAAAGTTTATTTCAACTACTTTTTTATTCTAAGCCACAGTAAGCGTATTACCAAAAATTAAGTCAAAATGAACATCAGGTGGTCATAAGTAAGAGCATACAATTGCTGAGTATTTTATGTTGGTATTCTTCGTAGTTAGAAACCATGAAGTGTTTTCAGGATGTGAATTATATTGATTCAAGCAGTGAGCAAAGAAAAAAAAGAGACAGTCAAAACTCACCGTTATCAATATATCATCATAAACTTCCCGTGTAATGACTGTTTTTGAGAAACCATGTCTTTGTATGTGAACCAATTTCTTGTCCGATTCAACAGTCACATAAGCCTGTTCAAAAAAGTATAGGTAGTCGGATTATGATGACGAAAAAAGACATATGAAATATGATGCAAGTGTTGATGTTTCCCAGTGGCCTGGTGGATAACCTTTTGTCATCTGAATCGATGGGTACTGGTTTCGAGGGTCAGTAGTAATAACATCATTCGCTAGGGGTGCAAATATATCTTGATAGCGAGTTCCAGTTAGGTTGAAATACGCGTCTTGGATTTCACTGTTATCCATAATTCACAAAATGAAGGTGGATTCTTTCATCAACATATCTCGTTAAGTTAACAGTAATTTCACACCTTATCTATGGAAGCCAGAAGATAACCACACGCACACCGAAGGCGTGGCTATCATGATGTCACCAACGGCAACAAAGGACCTGATGCAATGGGAGGCGATCTCGTCAAGGATAACGACCGCCAGATTCAACTCAAAAGGAAGGAAAGTGTCAATTATACAATGTTATGCACCGACAAACAACGCAAACCTCGAAAAGAAAGAAGAATTCTACAGACAACTACAGGTAACAATGGACAGTACTCCAGCTGGTGACATTAAAATACTAGTGGCGGACATGAAAGCCAAACTGGGACCAGACAACACAGGAAGATTTGTCGCGTCATCAAGAGCATCTCAAACAAACTACAGGCCTTCATTAACAGTTGTCTTCGCTCAATACTCAAGATCAGATGGCCGGCCAGAAAAGATCAGGAATACGGATTTCTGGCGATGAGCGAACCAACCAGGAACCGAGTGTGATACAAATAGGCAGGAAGAAATGGAGATGGATTGGCTGGCCATACTCTAAGGAAACCATCAAGTGACATCACTAGACAAGCCATCGCTCGCGTGGAACCCGACTGAATGGGAAGCGGCGGGTTGGTTGTCAGTGCAAGGGTGACTTGGAGGAGGTCATGTGAAGAGGAGATGAAAGCATATGGACAAACTTGCAGCGGGGTGAAAAAGTTGGCAGAAAATCGAATGCAATGGAGATGGGCAGCTGAAGCCCTATGTTCCTCTAGGAATTAAAGGATATAATAATAATAATCTATGGAAGCCAACTCGTCATGAGAAGGACTGATGATAAAAAAATGTGGTGTGTTTTCTAGGTATGGAATGTCACAATATCGTGAAGCATAAAAAAAAGCGTTATAGGATATTCAGTCGGCTCATTTTTCAAAAATGAAACAACTCAAGTGTTATTCCGTTCACAACTTGTTTTAATCTAGAGGGAACATTTGTAAAATTTTATATGACTGGTTTTCAGCTAGTCTACAGAACGCTACTCTTATTCTAAACTACTCATATCAAACATTGTCTGTTGTCAGTAGTATGTGCCATACTGCATATTTTCTTTGCTTTCTTGAGGTCATACATGATGTCGAGCAGGTCATATAGTGTGATATCAGTATTTTGTATTTCTAAGGGAGACTGTGGCTAAATTTGATCTCAAACACCTGTTCACTTTGCAAATAGCTAGCTGAATTCTATGCATTATCAGGAAGATACCTTGGTTCCTGTTGAAATGTATTTTTATGGCTGTCTAAGGTAAGTCTGTAAACAAATACAGCTTCTCAGCCTTGTCCAGAAAAGGAGAGCAGTGCTATAATCATATCGACCTGGTAGACAGGTCTTACTGGTTCGAATATGCAAATGAAGAGTGAATAACTAAAGTTATTAACTTGAATTCGACAGTTCTGAATGGTATGAAAAAGATGCATAAGATGTAATAAGTTCATTTTTTCTAGAAAGATAATGGGTACTAAAATTTACCAACATATTAACGGGTTTTATTAAATGCAAGCACTATTTCATTCAGAAAACAAATGACTATTTTCAGGGTTACCACGAACCGGGATTTTAGGGAGATTTTTTTTGAAATAAGTTAATTCCTCACATTCTGAACGGCATTTAAAATAATAATTTAAATAACAGTTTCCAGTGGAAATCCACCAGATGAAGACTGACGATAGGCTACATTTTTTTCTGATAAGTCTAATAGTTTATAACTATGTGCACAATCAGTCAGACAAATAAATTAGCCGTTGCTCTAGGAACTTAATTTTTCGTGCTCCAGAACATCTCCCAACATGGCTAAGCAAAGGTCTAGTTAAAAGCATCAACATTTCGATATTGAAGCATCTGGTGCGAACCGGCCACAAAGCTAGCATGGAAGAATCCTTCCCTATAATCTACGGGGTGCCTAAAAAATTACCAAAATCGTCGAAGCACTGCATGCTCCAAACAACAGAGGCTATTGCAATTCGCCTCAAACAACCAGTGCTCTGTGTTCTAAAGAAGCATATCCAGCACCTACTACCACCTTGGCCTTCAGTAGAGACTATAAATTCATGAGTTTGTGGCTCAGTGTTTAGGACTCTAGCCTATCATGCACATGGTCCGAGGTTCGATCTCCTGCCGACGAACACCTGATATCTATGTTCGGCCTGCGAAATTTGGGCTACCGATATCCATGCTGAAAATTTCATACTTGTACCAAAAATACAGTGTGGAGTCAAGCTGTAATAAAAAAAAAACTATCTTTCCCAATTTTTCTGACATTCAGCTTATTTTTTGTTGACGCTATTGAGCTGTAATCTATCAATATTATTGATTCAATGTTATTTAAATGACATTATTATTGTTCATAACACTAACTCATTCATTCACTATAATGTATGTATAACTGTGGAGCCTGATGATGAAGTTATCGAAAAGACTATTCTTTGTTCAATATCGATTCTTTTCAAAATTAAGAGATGCCAAGTATTGCATTACACAAAAACTAAAATAATTCAATACTCCGGTAAATAAAAGGTTTATGGAAGTGACAATCAAAGTCAGCTATAGTAGTCAGCATATCTCCAGGGAAAACTATCTAAAAAAAGACTAAACATGAAAGACATAACCTCCACTCATGTAGAATTCCAAAAGCTCAATCTCAAATGCAGATAGAGCTGAAGATGTCGTAACTAAATTGTCCAGCTCTAAAACCACAGCAGAGGCATAGCACCCCCTATACCAATAAACTTTCAATTTGTAGATTTGATAAGAACTCCACATTACTCAAGTATTTAGTTGCGCTACATTTACCTAGTTCTATCAGTCTACTTCACTCAACGGAAGCCATCTTACGAATTGTATGAGACTGAAAACTGCCAACGTCTTCCCGCTTGAGTGCTAACATCAGACGATTTCATTTTTATGTTCATCATCTCCACACATTGCAGAATCAAAAGCATTACCATACAGAGTAAGGTCAGTGTGATCCATCAAATGAAATCGTGTTAACACACAGCAAGCAGACTAGCATTCCCAAGTGTCAGAAATACGACAAGGGCACCTATTTTAGATTCACGCACTTCACAAGCCAAATAACGTCGAAATCAAACAAAGTTCTGTGGAACAAAGTTGGAAAGAATATGTATTTTGGTGAGTGGTTAAGATAATTTAAGCGATTCAGATGGAGGTAGCACTGATATCTACAATCTTGACCTTAAACATTAATAGCAGAAATGAAAACTTGAGTTTGGACAACTGTCACAATATGCTGATTTGTAATCAGGCGTATGAAATAAAGAATCGTTATACAGATAGGTACTTCTGTCCAAATCCATCTAGTGCCCTAAAAGTTGTGCCAGTTAAACTACTAGCATGACAGTGATCATCCCATCCACGCTAGTATTATTTAAAATGTTAGTGGAGAGAAACCTGATCAAATTTACACTGAATCTAATGGTTTTCAGAAGGTCTATCGTATTTAAAATGCATCACCCCACCTTTTAAAGTGTCTACCTGGTATAAGTACACTTTAGAAGAGAAATCAAGTCAAACTAAAGTGGACTGTTTTAGAGACAGACAAAAACCGAAATCTAATCACTAAACAAATTTCGAGGAAGAGGAGACAGGTGAAATTTGACTTTCTTTGCTTGAAAAAGTAATTTAACCAATTACTGTCCATTTTCCTCTGAGTAACCTGTCACTAAAAGTATCACACAAGTTCACTGGAATCAAATTGCATTACAATGTTTAATTCATGTACATACAAGAAATGCGTCGGTGGCAAAGCGGTTAGGGCACTTGTCGACCGGGGTTCGATCCCCGGCCACAAAACGCACTCCTTTACCTCGCTAAGCCAGGAATAAAAAGATGGTAACGAAGAAAGATTGGGCATGAAGCAATCTCATCTTATAAAAATAGACACTGCTACAGAAACTTCAAGCCTCTAGCTTGAAGCCGTATGTTCCAAAATAAAAATAAAAAAACATACAAGAAATAATCAATTGTTATTCTTACCAAAACAATTCGTCCATCCAGTGTTAATTCTTCAACTTCTTTACCTAATTCATAAGACTGTTCCGTTTCAATAGTGTTCGTAATCATTTTCATATGCAATTCATTATCGCCCAAACTAATAACCAATGTTGGTTTATATTCCAATGAAGCATGAAATACATCTTTCGGAGCTCCTTATATGTTTTCAAAAAAAGTTTCTTGATAATACACAGTAAGACATATTTACCTAATTCACTAAATAATTCATCCATATTAGAACTTTCAACAAATTTCCATGTTCCAACCAACTCAGCCATTTTAGAAAGAATTTAATAAAGTCAAAATATCTAACAAAATAACATTTATATCTAAACACAGCATTTTATTACTTATATGATGTTGTCTTGAAATGTGTTTTATTACAATTTATGACTTTGTTCGCATTAATTCGGTCAGTTATTGGAGACATATTAGAAGTAACCTTGACCGGTTTGTTTAAATTAACGACAAAAGATTATGGACAAAAATCGTATAAACATAAAGAGAGAGAGAGAGAGAGAGATGAAGAGTGGATTTATAATCTGTGTGGTTCATTTATACACTAAATCATCATTATGATCTGCTAAGATTATATGACATTGGTTTGAATTGGTGAACTGAAGTGGATTTAATGATTGTTGCGTAACTGTGAAATTAAAATCTGAATCGTAGATAAATTAGACAGAGAAGCCTCCAGATTTTCAACCCAAATCTCTACCAGCTCATCTATGGGACGCATATGCTAAGCAAGTCATAATTACACACAAGCAGATCACCGACATACTATGTATAATTAAAAATTCAGAAGAAACCTACAGCAACCAAAGTAATCTGCTTATAGTACAGCAAGGAGAAACAGAGCTTACTCCATTGGCAAAAAAGATATCATCTTCACACATCAAAAAAATTAAAATGACCAGTAGAGCTAACAAAAAGGTGGGATTAAGTCTAAAACTAACATATGACGGCTAAAATATGAATGAATCACAAACACGTTTAAAACATACAAGTGAGTTCATGGGTATGAAGCTTCGCCTTCAAATACAACTCGTTTTAAATCACGGAAAATACCCATTGAGCCATGAAGAAAATAAAAGACGGATTCAGCGAAGAAAATTTTCTTTATCGACGAAATCAGCGCCTCCGCCATACACAAAAGCCGGAACCTGACGCCTTTTGTACAATTTGGCTTCACTTTGTAGATGATGTTGAAAGACGACTCTGGTGGAGCTACGTGGCCTGAGTTCACCAAATGCTCGAGAATTGAGCTAGTAATTGTCTTGTATTGTCCCTTTGCTAACCATGCCGGATAATGTTCAGAGATGCGTTTGGAAAGCGTGCGCTTTGTGCGGCCAATATAACTTGCTCCACACGAGCATGTGAATTTATAAACACACATTGAGGTGGCCCAAAGCGGCAGCTTATCCTTTACACATCCGTTGATCATTCGTCGGCTGTAGAAATTGATACGTAGCTCAGCCATAAAGAAGGATTTCCTCAGTGATCTGCGTAAGCGATTCTTCAAGATCTCAGCTGCAGTATCACCTTTAAATTCAACACTCATAAAGAGCAGTTTCTTCGGCACAGTCTGAATTCTTTCGGGCTTTTCTCTTAGCTTCATGTTTTTCTCGATGAATCTTGGAGGATATCCATTCTCTAAGAGAACTTGTCTGAGTCGCTCCAATTCCCCATCGATTGTATCACTTGAACATATCCTCCTTATTCTTGAGGATAGGGAATGGATCAAATTTCTTTTTCTTCTTAAAGGGACCCAGCTATGGAAATTTGTGTACTGACCGTTCCATGTTGGTTTCCTGTAGATCGATCCTTGAAGAGAGCCATCAGATCTCCTCTTTAGAAAAACATCCAAAAAGTGGAATTCCGAGTTAATCTCTGATTCCGACGTGAATTTGATGGCATGATGGCAGCTGTTGAACTCATTAGTTATCAATTCGACGTCAGTATTGTCGTCACATATGATGAAGGTATCATCCATGTATCTTAGGTACAGATGGAAACTGTCGATAGTAGGCCATAAAATACTATTCTCCAAACTGGCCAAGAAGCAATCTGCAAGTAAAGGACCCAGTGGTGACCCCATTGCTACTCCATCTCTTTGTCTATATATCGTGTTGTTGAATTTGAATTGGACATTTAGAGTGCACCTCAAAAGTAGTTCCTTTAAGTAGTGTATCGGAACACATACGTCCAAATTATTATCTTCAATGAATTTGCATAAAAAGCAGATAGTTTCAGTGAGGGGAACGTTGGTGAAAAGCGAAGTAACATCCATAGATATCATTTTCTTCCCAGATACATTAGCATCATTTATTGAGTCGACGAATTCAAACGAATCAGAAACACTATGCTTGCAGAGATTATTTCTGATAGGTAGGAGGATTTCTGTGAGCCATTTGGCAGTAGCATGATATGGAGAATTTTTCATGTCCAGGATTGGACGTAGTGGCACGTTCTCTTTGTGCACTTTTGGCAGACCATATAAACGGGGAATCACGGAACCGGAGGGTCGTATTTGCTCGAATAATTCAGAGCTAATAATCGATTCGTTCTTCATATTCTTCGGCATTTGTGCTATCTTGCTTTCAATTTGTTCCGTTTGGTCTTTCTGGCTACTTTCTTTTGAAAATTTGTTTTCATCTGACAAGACTGATAACATTTTATCGATGTAGTCTTGGCGATCCATCAGGACAATGCCAGAACCTTTGTCGGGGCGTGTCACAACCAAGTCTTTGTTCTTTAGAATCTCACGCAATTGCTTTCTGTGCTCGGCTGAAATCAATCTTCTGGCTTTTGGTTGCGTGTTGATGTACTGATGGCAGCTATTTAATACTGTAGACTTGAATTGTTCATATGATTTGTTGGACGCTGCAGAAAGGTCATTTGTCTGTTGGATCAGTGCTTCAAATTGGACTTTGATATCCAAGTCACTCGAGTTTGTCGAAATATCGCAGAATTTTGGACCCAACGACAAGGCTTGCAATTGGACAGGAGTCAATGATATACTAGAGTAGTTGAAGACGTATTTTTCTGGTTTGGCAGGAAAGCAAGAGTAAGTGTCAGCGGCTTTAAGGCTATTCGCGAGTTTCAGGTTTACATCTTCACAGCGTCTTCTTGAAACTGACTCGATGTAGTCCATGAAACTTCTCTGCTCGTCTTCTGTCAGCTCATATAGAGCATGTGTTCTTAGTGAAATGTTTCTCTCTATCTCCGGTAGGCGAGATTTTATTTCATCGATGACGTTCAGTGTATGACGTTTCAAAGAGCGATGGTTTGGGTGAATATGATTGCGACGAAGACATTTCCAGAAGTGCTTGGGATATTCTTTCTTATCAATACAGCTCTTCAGAAAACTGATTCTCGCATTCGCTATGGCAAGCTTGACAGAAAACTTAAGAAACGTATCAAGTTCTTTCACTGTCACAGGGTTCTTGCTCTGTTTCAGATCACGGAAAATACCCATTGAGTCATGAAGAAAATAAAAGACGGATTCAGCGAAGAAAATTTTCTTTATCGACGAAATCATCTTCAGAGGCTGTACAGTCGTATTTATACTTAGAAGAATGTATAGTGGTCTATTATTGAATAATAGGGGGTGACATAACTGCTGTAATTAATCATAAGTGGCTTTAGAGGTGAAAATTAAAAGTTGTAAATTACATGGTACTTGACGGAACAAAGATAGAAGTTAGAAAAGGTTAAAATTGCTCTTGAGTGAGAATAAAGTTATTAGAGTGTCAATTTAACAAGTGTGAAGAAGGTGTGAAAATATATGAAATTGATAATAGTGAATTAATTATTAAAGCAAAAGCAAACTAAAAGTAAAATTAAAGATTAAGAACAAAATCAAAAATATTTTTTAACAGGGAAGGATAAGTGAAGAGGTTAAGACCAAGGTAGAATAAGAGACTGGACAAACTTTTTCTGTATACAGAGATCAGGGTTGTATTGATGTATTGCCAGCGCCTCCGCCATACACAAAAGCCGGAACCTGACGCCTTTTGTACAATTTGGCTTCACTTTGTAGATGATGTTGAAAGACGACTCTGGTGGAGCTACGTGGCCTGAGTTCACCAAATGCTCGAGAATTGAGCTAGTAATTGTCTTGTATTGTCCCTTTGCTAACCATGCCGGATAATGTTCAGAGATGCGTTTGGAAAGCGTGCGCTTTGTGCGGCCAATATAACTTGCTCCACACGAGCATGTGAATTTATAAACACACATTGAGGTGGCCCAAAGCGGCAGCTTATCCTTTACACATCCGTTGATCATTCGTCGGCTGTAGAAATTGATACGTAGCTCAGCCATAAAGAAGGATTTCCTCAGTGATCTGCGTAAGCGATTCTTCAAGATCTCAGCTGCAGTATCACCTTTAAATTCAACACTCATAAAGAGCAGTTTCTTCGGCACAGTCTGAATTCTTTCGGGCTTTTCTCTTAGCTTCATGTTTTTCTCGATGAATCTTGGAGGATATCCATTCTCTAAGAGAACTTGTCTGAGTCGCTCCAATTCCCCATCGATTGTATCACTTGAACATATCCTCCTTATTCTTGAGGATAGGGAATGGATCAAATTTCTTTTTCTTCTTAAAGGGACCCAGCTATGGAAATTTGTGTACTGACCGTTCCATGTTGGTTTCCTGTAGATCGATCCTTGAAGAGAGCCATCAGATCTCCTCTTTAGAAAAACATCCAAAAAGTGGAATTCCGAGTTAATCTCTGATTCCGACGTGAATTTGATGGCATGATGGCAGCTGTTGAACTCATTAGTTATCAATTCGACGTCAGTATTGTCGTCACATATGATGAAGGTATCATCCATGTATCTTAGGTACAGATGGAAACTGTCGATAGTAGGCCATAAAATACTATTCTCCAAACTGGCCAAGAAGCAATCTGCAAGTAAAGGACCCAGTGGTGACCTCATTGCTACTCCATCTCTTTGTCTATATATCGTGTTGTTGAATTTGAATTGGACATTTAGAGTGCACCTCAAAAGTAGTTCCTTTAAGTAGTGTATCGGAACACATACGTCCAAATTATTATCTTCAATGAATTTGCATAAAAAGCAGATAGTTTCAGTGAGGGGAACGTTGGTGAAAAGCGAAGTAACATCCATAGATATCATTTTCTTCCCAGATACATTAGCATCATTTATTGAGTCGACGAATTCAAACGAATCAGAAACACTATGCTTGCAGAGATTATTTCTGATAGGTAGGAGGATTTCTGTGAGCCATTTGGCAGTAGCATGATATGGA